AATAAAGGACGAATTTTAAAATTTTACTGTCACTCATAATTAAAACATCATTAAGATAAAGCCTTGGATCCTACAGAAATATGCAAGTAAAGAGCCATATACAACTGACCTGACTACCGAAGATTGGAAGTTCAGTTACTGATCTCTCATAACCAATTGAAATCTGGAACAATACTAAAAAGTCAACTTTACCTTTTCTGATTTCAGTTCCAAACAACTGGTTTGTTGTTCATCCTGTCAAAACGTTCACAAAAAATTACTATTCCTCCATTTTTAAAAAGAAACAGTTTTTTTTCAAACTTATGGTGAATAGGAAAATTGACACACAAAAAAACAAATACAGCAACTGCCTTATTCTAAACCAAAATAATTTATGTACTTATCTACAAAAAAAGTTCATTATTAATGTATCCCTTGACCTAATCAATTTTGCAATCCTGTAAATAATGAATTGAAACTATTTACTGACTAAGCTTTTTAAAACTATGTATACAATATTTATGAGAAAATAGAAAGAAAAAAAAACAAGCACATGAAATGTAACAACTATTGAACATTGAACAAACTAACAAACTTCATTGAATTAGCCGAAAACCATTAACATTTTTTTTTGGTTAAGGTCAGTTATTTTTCTGATAGTAAAATCAAAAAAAAATTTTTGGAGAAATATTTAACAAAAGATTATCATAAATACTTTTACATTCTCTAGAACATAATTATGACACATTTTAAAGTACCCAGTAACTTATTCAATAGTATATTTTATTGAAAATCTAAAAAGAAACCAGTATGAAGTGAAATTTAATGATTAAAAGTGATCATAAAAATCTATTATACCATAAAAAAATTTATTAGATTCTATGATACTGATTATGTAATTGTGATCGATTCTATTGTTTTCTTTAAAATTTTCATAGTTGAAATCATGAGTCAATTGGAGCTAGACCACCATGGAAAACCTGGAAGCACTGGGCGGCCATTTCGTCCTATTGTGAGACTGACTCCTCAGCAGTGCGCATCCACGATCCGGCACCCACGAGATTTGAACCCAGGACCTACCAGCTTTGCGCCGGAGCACTTAATCGATAGACCACTGAGCCGGCATCCATCAATTGACTCATGATTTTAACTATGAAAATATTGAAATATCCACAAAAACCCCTTCTGTTTTTTTAAATTTCCTTAAATGATATTAATAAATCAATCATTCAATTAGTCCATATATTAATAAACAATCTTTTCATAATAGTCTAAATTCATTTTAATAAAGAGAAACTTAGAAGACAGTTTTTTAATAAAAAAAAACTGATTGAATTTTAAGTAGAAATGATATTTTCAAATATACTCTGAAATAGTTGAAAGCATAAGTCAATTGAAGCTAGACCATCAAGGAAAACCTGGAAGCACTGGAAGGTCGTTTCGTCCTATTGTGGGACTCCTCAGCAGTGCGCATACCTGTATAGAAAATTCATCACATTGTCTTTTATGGATGAATTCTCAGCTGAATTAGGTACGCGTTTACATTCTACACATGAGCATGAAAATGTCAATAAAATGATAATCCTAGATGTTCAGATCATATGAAGAGAATTATCTAAGATGCATAATCCAACCAATTTTGAAGTTGATAATACTCACATTTTTACAGATTTGTTATTCTCTGATACAATAAGAGTTTAGTTAGATTTTTAGTGGACAGAATGGGTAGGACATTACTTCGATACGGTAATAAAAGAATGGTTTCAGGATCGCGAAAATACGTTCAGTGACAGCATACCCAGGTGACTCATTTGAAAAAGCATTTGACAGTCATAGTCAACTTATGACCTAGCGCAAATATGGATCGTTCCAGTTTTACAAACCCCAAATCAACACAGAAAGAGAAAATTAACAAGATGGGCAGAAAGGAATGGCAACGTCAGAAACAACGGAAAACTAAACATGAGTAATATGAATCACAGCCAGCAAATAATGCTGAACAAAAATTATGGATTTATAAGTTAGTCAGTAAATTCTACTGTGACCGATTCTGCACTTTATCGAATGTCTTCAGCCGTAGATGACGGCTATTTAGTGTTTTCAGTGAGATATCTACGTCTTCTTATATGGCTCAAACCAGAAAATGATGGATCGACACCATTCATTGACCTTCTTGATCCTAGTTTTCATCTGACCAACTCATACACCAAACGCTATTGCTCGTCACAGACGATGATTAGGCATGACACAACCCTACTCCTAACCTGATCGTTATTCATTTTTTGGACTTACCATGCCCAAGCAATGTTTCGAATATTCATGCGTTTAATTACAAAAAGACTGTCCATGCGTCCAACTTTCATTGGTGTTAGATGACCATGGAAACCAACATCTTGAGCACTTTATTAGTCTTATATCCCCCCATAGCTGCCATAGGATTATTTCCGTCCATTTGTAAGCCAAGACAATCAGTGATCGCGACCAGTCAAATAGAATTACATCCGGTCTCAAATTTGCTATATTATTCAGTTTAAATGCAAGAATCCGAAGCACTACAAAAACAACTCTAAAGCCATTTCACTAGAACTACCTTCCCTCGCTTCAAATTAGGTACAGCCTTTCCAACATCCCTAAGAAATGAAGGCGTGGTATCAATCTCTCATACATGCCTACGATGAGCAATGATGAGGGAAATAAGAGTAACAGCTCCCACCTGCGCCAAAATCTAGTTGTTTATGAATCTTCATTTTCAGGAGGTTAATCAGGACCCGGAGCTTTCTGGAGATCGTTACCCACAGTCACTTTTAGATTGCTTAAACTGGATGTAATTTACAGCCAAATCCAAAAGACAGAATTTCTTTGATGCCCATGTCAATGTTCATATATGAATTCGCCTTCTCTTGAGAAGCCATTTGCTTAGACCCCACAAAATAGGCCTATCCACAAAATGCGAAGAGTCTACCAGAACAGCCTACAAATAAAAGCGAAAGACCGCTAATTATCTCAGTCTTATTCAAAATGTCCTAGGTACGTGGTTGACATCAGATTATCTTCTGATGGACCGCAAGAAGCTAAACTGTCTACCGAATCCGCTAATCTCTTCAAACATTATCCAAAATTAATGACATAGTTCTTAAGACAAATTAATTCAGTAACTCCATACACAACCGACGGTTCCCTACTTCTCATAATCACCTTGTATATCTCTTGGTGCAAAATATTGTCAAAGACCATTATCGATGAAATCCAAATGAAAACTGCTATGCAATCAATATTTTAAACTATACAATACATCCCCATTAACTTTTTTTCTGAACAGTCGCAAAACGATGGGTTTTTAATGCCATAAAATCTCTCAAGAAAAACATCGTAATATTTTGAGAATCATTTCAAATGATGAGAAAGTTTCTTATGTAACTATCCTTCACTTAACAAGAACGAAAACTAAATTCTTATGGAACATAAATATGCCCGTAGATTTTGAGCAGACATACCCTTTAATTAAATACTGTGGTACAGTTTGATGTTGAGAGATGTGTTAGACACATTTGTCAATACTTAACCTGAACTTTAACGGAACGTGAAATGTTTCCCCTAGATCACAATTACACTCCCGTAACTTTCGAATGCGGGGGGAGGTTACGTAAGATAACTAATATCTAATACATAATAATACATAACTAATATCTAATACATAATACCCAAGATATCTAATACATTTTTTAGTGAACCAAAAAAATGTTTCATGAAACCTATAGCCCTTGACCTATCTGTCTCATTTCTTTTGTTCACCAGTGAACACACTATATAGGTTCTTGTTAGTCTAGATTTGTCTTTTTTCCTGATCTTTCTCTAGGTCTATAAAATGTTTTAAGACTAATTAATTTAGTACTTTTTTAGAATCATAATGGATTCAGGCTTTCAACCGTAAACGGAACTCCGTATCTCAGAGGGTGTCCCAACTGGATAATCGAAGGAAAAAATGAGTTGGATAATGTACCTGTTCCTTCTAACGGACACGAACTATTACACTCCTGATTGATATGTACTCAGGTAACGCGACAAAAGGTTTTCGAGACGAAAAAATACATCTTAACAATAATACAACCCAGTAGGGACTTCAATTCAACTTTATAGAGCTTGATCAACAAGAACAAATGATCGTAAACTATATCTGTTATACGAAGGTTAGTGATGTTACTCACCTGCACAGGTAGATAGAAGCACAATACGCAATAAAATAAACTGAGTCAAAAACTCAAATCATTTAGATACGACTCCATAAACGAAGAAATATACAAACGATATTATTACCGAAGAGATAAGCAACTCCAAATTAACGGTGGGTAGATGTAAAGTGTAGAAAGGTGACAAGAAAATCATCTCAAATCCACAAATTTAAATGTATTCCATTGGTTAGTGAAATATCCAATAACAAGCTAAGTAAATTTGTTAGAAATACAATAATTATTATTCGAAATAAGTTAGTGCCAGTCATTTCACATTCTATTCTTTATTAAATAAGAGGTTAGTGACATGAAAAGCAATGATACAAATGAGGAAATAAAAAGATCTTTCAACAGCATATACGTACAAGTGAAAAGACAAAGCATAGAAAAATCTACATTTTGTTAAGCCATCACATTTTATTTAATGGTAAAGAAAAGATAAACTCAAAAAGTAGGATGCATTTTTGTGATACCCAGTTTACATGAAATTACAACATACAATTACCTTTTTGATGTAAAGTCATTACCTTTAAGAATGACGTTTTTAAATTGGATACTGCGGATTTAAATAAACGTAGGAAGGCAAGAAGAGCCAAAGCAGAAAGTACATTTAACTTGGAATGAAAACAAGAGAAAAGGATAGAATAAAAAGTTAATGGCAAACGTAAACGCGCCCACAATTTAGAACATGCAGCAACGAATAATGGACGATGGGGAGTTTCTTAAAACTATTTGGCGTATTTTAGTGAATAGTCTACGGTTTGCAATCCAGATAAAAACTAATTGGTTTTATTAGTCCCTTTTCCCAATGAAATCCTGTGAAACAGCTTCAGCAGCCTTCTTTTTGGCTGAAATTCAAAAGCACAAACACTTCATCTCATCACAACAGAAAGCATATATCCAAACAAATGAACGGTAGAAATACACAAAATCTTTTAAATATAACATTATATAACAAGAATAAAATACCAATGTTATCTGACCATAAAAAGGATTGAAACGAAATATAAATACAATAACCAGGAGTTAGGTTGTAAAAAAAGAAGCATGGGCAAAGATGCATAATTAGTGTCATGACTATTGGTTTTGACTTATTTCACCCAATGTTTTTGATCACAAAATTTGGAAGTCCTCCCCTACGTGACCCAGATTGGTAATTACCGATGAAGTAAGATCATTTCATATTTAGAGTGGTAAACAGCCTTTCCCGGTATCTTCTTTTAGCATTACCCATAAAAATAGTTCAATTCAACTTAACAATTTGGCAATATTTTCTAGGAGCTCAGTCAGTCAGCTACAATGCAGGACCAAGCACATTTATGCATCGGTATAAGTTGCCATACCTCGTTTCTAGGAGCTAGTTAAGCCTAGACTTTCTTGGACTATATACATTTTCTTTGAAATGAGTGTAAATCTTTTTGACAAATATATAACTTTATACGCTTCGTATGGATGCAAGTGCAGGTACCAACTGAATTGTGATATTTTACCATTTTCACCTCTACTAATTAAACTACCAGGGAATTCAAAGCATCGTCAGTAAAAAATTGTCTTCCTGAACTGGTCCCACTGGTATGCATCCGTTATCTTAAGTATGAGGACCATATCTTATGGTGCGATGATTCTTAAATCATGCAACCACTACTTCACTAGTTAAAAATCAATGTCCGTAGGCATGTCATGCGCTTTGCATCTTTTGAGTACACAGTACAAGACTGTCAGAACCAGTGCCTGAACTCTTTTTGGGTTGTGAAAAGTTGGTAGTCGAAAAGTTTGTGTATTTGGGTAATTGTTGGTGGTGGCATGAGTGATGAGATAAACTCACTTATGATGAAAGCCAGAGAAATTCGTGTTAATCTTAACCATCTTTGGTGCCTTCGTGATGTTAGCCTGGCTGTAAAAGGTCAGAACTACAACGTGTTGATTAGAGCAGTTTTGCTCAATGCTTGTGAAACCTAGCCTCACCGTATTTAGGATGTTAAGCGACTGTTTGGTCACTGTTGTCTACGAAGGAGTGTCGACATACACCATGCTAGTAATGTGGAGGTTCGGCAACGTGTGCCCGGGCACACTGACGATAACTCGATTGGTGTCACTGTTTTGAAAGACCGACTTTGGTGGCTTGGACATGTACCACGAACGTTGTCCCAGCGAATTTCACATAGTGAATTATTTCCCGACGCTGGGGTTGGTTAGAAAAAGCAATGACACACTTATGACATAGTGTCGTGGTTGGAAAGAAAGCTTTACAGGACAAACATCTATTGGTCACTCACGATTCTCTAGTTGCAATTATATAGTGTAGTAGAGTGATTTGAGATGCCAGATATGGCTTAGAATACACTCCTGAGGTAGTCGGTTTTACAGCAATAGAACAGAACGGAGCAAAATGATGCACAACAAACTCGTCCATTGGCTGGCAGACGAATATCTCGCATGTTGTCCTGAGATCTTGTCAGACAACAACTAACCAAGGTTGATGAGACTTACAGGATAAGTGATCGATACACCTAACTACTTCACCCCCTATCATTAGTTCAGAGTTTGACGAAGACCAGCCCGCAAATGCCCTGGTACGGCCGAGAGTGGGGAGTCCGCTCTCCCTCTCGAAATGCTCTCACATGGCCACGCGTATATAGCCTCTGACAGGGAAGTCCTACTCACCACCTTCTCGTGGCACCGGTGTTGTTTACGAAATTGTGAGGACGAAAAGCGAATGTCCGGTGCTTTAACCGGGTTGGTGGACATGGCGGGTCCACCTAGGGGAGTTGGAAAACCCTGATTCCGAACCAATGGTGCACATGGGCTCTAGTATCCTGAAGGAACAAATGGCGTATGAATCAATCGTTGGTCACCGGTTACCATGGGACTACATCTCCTTAATATGCTCCACTGCCTTATGAACTAGACCTTCAGGTCAAAGGCTTGGGGTGTGGCCCCCTAAGAAAACCACCTGCTTCAGTCTGTTCACCTGGGCAGTATCACAGCCCTCACACAAATCAAATGAGATTTGTGAGGCGCATATTTATCTGGTGCTTCCTTGTACCAATATTTGTGTCTAAATAAATAAATAAATGATAGTCCAGAATCAATACTTTGAATTTAGGAGAACGCATCTCAGATATCCTACCAATGATACTTCAGATGGTTAGAAAACTGCACTTTTCAGTTTTTGTCTTCACGTAGACCGAACAATAGTCCACCGTGGATAAATAAAGAAGTTAAGAAACTTCTTAGGCGTAGGAAAAAACACTGGAGCATGTTCATCTCTACTGGCTTAGAACAGTACAGATCTAGTTATCGTAAGATTAGAAATAATTGTAAAGCGTTAATTAGTAGGACTAGACGGTCATACGAAAAACAATTGGTTAGGGATTGCAAACATAGTCCAAAACGGTTATTCTCGTATATAAAGAGGCGAACTCAGAGAAGTGATGGAATACCATCACTTTTGATACAAGGAAATCCGTTAAGTTTGGCAAGAAATGATACCGAAAAAGCTTCCGCTTTTTCGGAATATTTCAGTAAAGTTTTTTCTACCAATAATGAGGAACGATCACCTATTCATTGTTATTGTGGCGACTTGTTGATGGACCCTGTAGTTATTAAGAAAGAAACTGTTTTAAGGCTACTTCAGCACCTCAAACCTGATAAGTCTAGTTGTCCTGATGACATTCATCCTCGGATTATGAAAGCCCTCGCAGATGTTATTGCTGAACCCTTAGCGATAATGTTTGATGTGTCCCTGCGGCAGTCCAGATTGCCCGGAGACTGGAAAGACGCAAAAACCAGTCCGGTGTATAAGGCTGGGAGTAGGGATTCAGTTAGTAACTATCGACCCGTCAGCTTAACTAGTGCAGTTGTAAAACTAATGGAAAAAATTATTAGGATGGCTGTTATAAACTACGTGGAAAGACATGATCTTTTGTCAAAGGAACAACATGGTTTTCGAAAAGGTCTATCATGTTTGACAAATCTTCTCATTGCAAGAGAAGATTGGGCTGAGGCAAAAGATCGCAATATTCCTGTAGATGTCATTTTCATATATCTAAGTAAAGCCTTTGATAAGGTTTCCCATTCTGGTCTTAAATTGAAACTAGAAAGTTTTGGAATTCATTATGCAGTCATAGACTGGCTAAGTGACTTTCTTCATGAAAGGAGACAACGGGTAAGAGTAAATGGGGCTCTCTCATCGTGGGAACCAGTAAAAAGTGGCGTCCCCCAAGGCACGATTTTAGGTCCTCTTCTCTTTTTACTTTATATAAATGAATTACCAGCTATAGCTAAGTCATCCGTCCTACTATTCGCCGATAACATTAAGATTTGGAGACCCATATATAGTATGTCAGACAGAATAGTTTTACAGGAAGATCTTAACTCACTAGTTGCATGGATGAATGGGTGGTCACTAGAAGTAAACCCTAATAAAAGTGTTGTGATGCAATTAAATAACTACGATGATTCGTATCACTACACATTATGTGGACTAGTGTTGCCCAAAGTAAGAAACTATAAAGATTTAGGAGTCATACTAAGTAATGATCTCAAAACAACCAGTCACTGTAAGGCTGCTGTTGCAAAAGGCTATGGGGTATTATGGTCTATTCGTAGATCCTTCCGGTATCTGGATGGGGAAATGTTTAGATTATTATACCCAAGTTTTGTACGGCCACATTTGGAATATGGGATTCAAGCAGCGAGTCCTTGTTTCAAATATGAGGCGGATATGTTGGAACGAGTCCAACGCCGCGGGACAAAAATGGTAAAAGGTCTATCTGGCCTATCTTATGAAGACAGACTGAGACGCCTCAACTTATTTCCGTTATCTTACCGGCGAATAAGGGATGATCTAATATTAGCATATCGTATCCTGAACGATGACCTCGGTACTAACATGTCCTATCTTTTCCTCATATCTAGGGCTGGTCATTTGAGAGGACACTCGAAGAAAGTCCGAAAACCGAGATCAAATCGTCTACGTCTGGAGTTTCGTTTCTCGCACCGAGTAATGAATTACTAGAATTCTCTACCAGAACACGTAATATCAGCACCTTCTGTTGATATATTCAAGACGAGATTGGACCTCCACAGTGTAACAAACTGCAAGGACTAAAATAGGTCACTAGACCTCCTATCCTTATTACTGAAGACCAGATGATGAGAGCATCAACTCTAAAGGAATGTAGTTTAGTTTTGAAATCAGTCTGGTTTTTCCAAGTTCTCTTCACCAGCCCTTGGATGGCTATTGAGGCTAATATTCCAGGCACTATGATAGGAGGGCTGATTTCTCTTTGGTTATTGCAAAAAGGTATTTTCTATTTTCTCATAGACTAGGACGATCAAAAACGAGACCAATCAGACGGAATTGCGTTCAGTTCTCAGGCTTCATATGAGGCCTTAGTCAATCCAACCGCCTTACGTAACCTTTCCTGTCAACTTATAGAAAATGTTTACGGAAAGGAAGTACTGAATAGGGTTGTTATTCAAACCAACATAGTAACCCAAAGATTTGAAAGTAAACGGTAATTTGTACCACACATTCTCTGCAGATGTCACTTACCGGCATTTCCAAAATCACCAGCCAAATCTGATGCCTCATTGATGAATTTGTCAATATTTTTTTCGTGAGCCAAAAAGTTGGGTCTAATAACTTTTTCGTAGATTAGGATAGCTCCATTAGGTGATGTTGGGATCATCATAAACAAGAAAAATAGAGACTGTGGAAATTGATTCACAAGGAAAAACAAACCTTCAGCAGTGAATACAATGGTATCCAAAAAAACAATATATCGGTCAATGACTCGATAACACTGAGTGTTGCGAACACAACCCAGTAAGTGAGCCATTTTGTATCGTCCGCCTTATCAGAAGTCTCTAATGCTTTGATTCTGAAACTTTCGAAAGAATTATGCGCAAGTTACGATCTATACGCTGGATAGATAAACCCAATAAGGTTTGCAAGGAAGCTTGTCCCATAACCGAAAATGAGGTACAGAAATATCACTACAGCACTTCCTGTTCATAAATTATAACCTTCAACACCATTATTACCAGTTACGATGTATAGTCTGTCGACACCTGACTTCTTTTCCACCTTCTCCAACAAGCCTGTGAACCAGTTCTTTTGTTTCAACGAATCTTCCAAAATCTTACGAGTACCCGCCAACTTTTCCATGTTTAGATCCTTTAAAAATACGGGTAGTTTTAAGGATGAAGTTAGTATAAATAAAGCACATTAGCATATGACCTGAATTATAGAGATTCACAACAATACATAGATATTGGTTTAGGTTTAAGTGAGAGAGACAGACTATCAAATCTCTTCTTCATATACATTAACGATCTTCCTCAACAAATTTCATCACACTTATTGCTTCTTGCTGATGATGTGAAGCTTAGGAGAGAGATTCGTAACCATAATGATATACTAGCACTTCATGATCTGACTCGACTTCAAAGTTGGGCAGACGACAACGGACTTACCTTCAACACTTCAAATTGTAAAATTGTCCATCTGCGACATGTTGCAGACTATAGTTACAACTTAGGAAACTCCTCTCTAGAAGTATCCCAAGTCTAGAGTGTTGATACCCTACGACCTGAAGTCGTATGCTACTGTGACAAAAACGCCTTTCAAGCAAACCTTGCACTGGTAACATTGAAGCGCATTTTTGGCCAGTTTGATGGTAGAACCTTCCACATAATGTGCAACAGTTTTATTCGCCCCCACTTAGAGTACGGAAACATAGTATTTCCTCCCTCCCTCCAAAAGGATAAGGACACTCTGGAACGTATCCAACGGCGAGCCACGAAATTGGTTCGGGGACTGAAATTCAAACCTTACGAAGAGCTCCTCCAATCACTTAACCTTTACCCGTTAGAGTACAGGCGTCTTAGAGGTGACTTTCTTATGACTCACGGTGTCCTTAATACTTCTGATCGTCCCCTTAAACGTCTTCTCAAGCTTAGTCACAACACTAACCTAAGAGGTAACATCCAGAAATTGAAGACCTAGCATAGCAGAACGGACTGTAGACAACAACTTCTACTCCTTAAGAGTTCTCAAATGCTGTAATTGGTTGCCGGCTGAACTCGTCCAAGCGACTACCCAGGAGTCATTTAAGAGGAAACGTGACTTATTCTTAAGGACTAAGGATAACATCTTATTATGATTTACCAATTTCTTTTTTCCTCTATTATCGTTAACATACATAGTTCCATGCTTGGAGGTATTGGTAATCCACTGCTACTCGACACGGAAGCCCGTTAAGCGAAAGCTTCTTCTATTCCGTCCACAATTATTTGGACCATTTGAACCATACTGACCATTATTACTTGTGATACTGATTCATTATTTAACAAAGACTGTGATGCATTTTCTAGTTGAGTTAAATCCACTATTTCGATCGTAAATTACGCATCAAAACTACTGTTTACACGTTGATTATATTTATTTTAGTTAAAATGATATTGTACTTGTGTGTTTTGATTTTACCTTTATGTATTTACTACATCAAAGCATAGGGAGAAAGGTAGCCAGAGAAAGCGCCTGTTTAATTGAAACGTCCTTGGTCGACTCACATTCTGACTATCAAATTACTTCGCCAAAGTCCCAAAGTAAGACTATATTTGACCCTATCGTAGATGGGAAAAGTTCGTCCTCATCAAACATTGTCATGAGTCATTCGCTCGACTCCTACGACACTGTTACAAGGAAAGCTGACTGTAAGACTCCAGCAGTTAACTGTCAGGATCTGACATCACGATCGGAAGCCGTGAATACGACTTTTAAAGAAGTTAAACACGTTCCCATTTTAATTATTTGGAATCTAGAAGAGTCGAAAGACAATGACCCTAATAAAAGACACGCACACGATCTACAGTTAGTGGAATCGGTCATCAGAAATGTACTGCCTGAACGGTTTTCAGGAGTACATATGACGAAGATTATTAGACTCGGTAAAGGGGTTGGAAGTGAGACTCAACAAAGAAGGATCTTGGATTTGGTAATCCGGAATTTCGAAGAGACGTAATATTAAATTATGCACACAAAACTCGTTATTCAAATATTCGTATTTGACCAGATCGGATCAAGTGGAAGAATGCTTTAAAAGAGTTAAGAACTCGAAAGCTAAATGGAGAAACGAACATTACGATTAAGGGTTTTCGGGTAGTCAGGTCTTGGAAGCTAATGCTTGCGAGACCTGTATGGGTAGAACGTATGATTGCCAAAACACCGAATTCCCGCAGTCTTCGAAATAAAATGTCCGAGCTAAGTTTGATGGTGGATAAATTAAGTCTCGATATAATTGTTGGCACAGAAACTTGGCTAACCGTAGATACAGAGTGTTCTCTCATCATTGCAGGCCACATCTGTATCAGAAGTGATAGAGTTATAAGTCGCAAGGGGGGAGGCTTAGTGTTATATGTTAGTGATCACGTTCTTATGCAATCCATCATATCGGAGGCGCTTGTTAGTGGTACATGTGAGGTATCATTTTGTACAATTAAGTCTGGAAACGAGTTAGTGACTATAAGAGGGATATATCGTAGTCCATGTTGTCTTGCTGACGACTTTATCTCAAGACAAATCTGTTCTTGGAGTAAGGCAGAATGTTGTCTCATTATTGGAGACTTCAACACACAGCATATCAATTGGATAGAGCTTACAGCTTCAGGTGGGGGTTCGATAGTGACCTATCAATAGTTATTTAATGTGCACTTGTACAATATGTCGTAAAAACTATTCATATTGACTTGGAACGTGATTCATCATTGCTGGACGTTGTCATCACACACCACTTTGAAGATGTCATCGACATTCAGCACCTTCCGCCACTAGTGAATGGTGATCACTTTATACTTTGCTTTACGTTTCGGACGCACGGTATACAATTTGTATGTGCTCTACATCATCCCAATATTTGACAAGTTAATATTCTGGCAATTAGAAATTGGGCTATCTCGATTGACTGGTCGGTCGATGTGGATCGATCGATCGAAGACGAATGGAATAAGTTTAAAGCTACATAACAGTCCGTAACGTCACTGTTTATCCCAGATCAACACGTAAGCTATCACATTGCCCTACATGGATTATTAATGAAATCCGGAGGTTTTAGAGGAGTAGGTAAAACTTCTGGGACTTCTTGTCAACATGACAGGCGTCATTTAAGTTCGAATGTAAACAAATCCGGAATATATGTAAAAAGATCATAGTTAAATCCTGTACTATTTACGAGGGATAGTTAACATATAATAGCCGTACTTGTCCGAAACGATTGTTTTCGTACGTTAAACGGCGAACAAATCGAATTGTCGGTATCCACACGTTACTATTACAAGAAGATCCACATTTACTGGCTGAATCAAATCTAGCAAAAGCTGAGACACTTGCAAACTATTTTAATGAAGTCTACTCCACGTGTAGTGGTGTTACAACTATTTGTACTATTTACAACGAGATACCAGCCATAGGATCTATACACGTGACTGAGGAAATCGTTCTCCCATTGATAACTTACCCCAAACCTTGTAAGATACCGGGCCCGGTTCGGTTACATGCACGACTGCTGTCATCTCTTGCGGACATTATTTCAAGACCGCTCGCGACGCTCTTCAACATGTCCTTCTCACTAGCTCAACTCCCTAGAGACTGGAAAAACGTTATAGTCAGTCTTATATTTAAGGATGGTCAGACACAGATCTTATCTAACTACCGACCAGTCAGCCTAACCAGCAAAGTTGTTAAGTTACTTGAAAAGATAATTCGGGCAAAGTTACAAAGTCGCATAGATTCGTACGATCTGTTAAATCCTGAACAACATGGGTTTCGTAACAAGCGTTCGTGCTTGACTAACTTATTGCGAGAGGATCGGACAGCAGTCCTAGATAATGGCCTGTTTGTCAATGTGATATTCATAGATTTTAGAAAAGCATTTGACAATGTTTTACAATTCCATATTATGCAGAAGCTCTCGAGCTCGGAACGACAGGTGCTGTACAGGAATGGATAGGAAACTTCTTATGTAACCGCAGACAGAGAGTGAGGGTTAATGGAACGCTATCCGAATGAAGGCCGGTCAAAAGTGATGTACCCCGAGGCACCATCTTGGGCCCTCTACTTTTCCTTCTCCATTTTAATGAATTACCGTTATTGCTTAAGTTGTCGACATTATTGTTTGTGGATGATGTCGAATTCTAGACGACAATAAGGGGTGAGGCTGGTCGTTTTCATCTCCAAGCTGACTTAAACGAATTAGTTAGATGGGCTCATGATTGGGGCTTAGAAGTTAATTCCAGGAAGAGCGTGCTCATGCACATCGGACACGGTAATAGTTACCATTATATCATTGATGGTACATCTCTTCCACACGCTTAAGAACATAAAAACTTTGGAGTAATAATAAGTCACGACTTGAAAACAATTACGCACTGCAACGCAGCTGCTTCCAGAGGTTATCGTGCGTTATGGTCACCTCGCCGAGCATTCAAATGCTTTGACGAGATGTTTCAAATTATATATCCCACCTACGTAAGACCACACTTAGAGTACTGTATGCAAGCAGCTAGCCCATGTCTGATAAAGGATACTGACTCACTTTAGCGTGTCCAGAATGTGGGAACGAAATTAGTGAAGTGTCTTTCTAAAATCCCCTACGATGAGCGTTCAAAACATCTAAACCTTTCCCCCTTGTCGTATCGTAGTACGCAAGGTGACTTTATACTGCCATTTCGTATCTTTAGCTATGTCAGTACACTACCAATTTGTACTTTTCATTTATTATTTTTTTAATTATGTAACCTATTCCACTGTTATCATTGACTGATAAACTGTCTTGATTAGTTTAATAATTTCGTATATGCATATAAGTATTACTGTATATTAGAGTAAAGCCTGATGAGGATCTAATCGAAAACAATATTGTTCGCTTATATATGTTGTTCTAAATCGCAATATGGGGATTTTTCAAATTATGATTTGGGTGTTAATATGTCTTATGTTCTTGCCCCCTCTAGCATAAATGATGTCCAAGGTTATAGCAAGACGGCTCACAAACCGCGATCTAATAAACTTAAAGTGGGGTTCCATTTTTCTCATCGATTGGTCGATGACTGGGAAGACTTACTCGAACAAGTTATATCAGCCCCATTAGTGAACATTTTCAAGGGGAA